GTATTTGCAATGGATTCGGATTCTTGGGGTGATTTTGTACGAAGTGGGTTAGGGCTTCGATTATTGAGAGACTGAACATTTCTCGGCGGATTTCGGGCGAAGAATATGGGTTTTAACGTTTTGGAGTGGGTTTTAGAAATGGGCAAGAATTCTCGTGATCTTTCGGGGGAAGAAGATTAGTGATTTGGAAGGTTTTCAGGGCATTTCAGGCATGGTTCATATATTTTGGAGTGTATATTCTGTGGGAATTCTCAGGCCCTTTCGGGCATGAATGATATATTTTGGAGTGTATATTCTGTGGAAATTCTCGGGACCTTTCGGGCGTGAGTGATATTTTTTGGAGTGAATCTTCTGTGGGAATTCTCGGGACCTTTCGAACGTGAGTGATATTTTTTGGAGTGAATCTTCTACGGGAATTCTCGGGGCATTTCAGGCGAAGTGGATAAGAATTTAGATGTTCAACATTCTCGTGGGCTTTTAGGTTCTGGTATAATTCTCGGTGCCCATTCTCGCCCGGGAATTCAGCCGAAAGATTTTACAGTACTATACTTCGAGCAAAGTTATTTTAATATTGTAAAATTCTCGTGCACGACTTTGCCCGAGAATGGAACCGGGAAATATGACAGGATTATGTTTTACACCCTTTTTTTTGTTGGTTGAAAGAATGTTTGGTTATTAGTATATGTATGTCTTATCTATGTCTCTGATCATAGGATCCTTTATTTACTCATTTCCAGGTTAATTCAAAATGGAAATAGTACCTAAAATGTCTCCCTCATCCTATGCCTCCGCCAACTTGACATGTCTATCGCACCTAGCGAAGACTACCGCAACCATTAAAAGTAAATTGACCCCACCACGGCTTAGGATGTTTAGGAAAACTGTATTCAGTCACCTCCTTGACTTGGACCTCGTATTTAACGGGTCATTGATATACAACATCATACTTATGGAGATCGAGGATAGTACACTTGGCACCATTAGCTTCAGCCTGTTTGGGAGTAAGGTGYCATTTGGGTGGAGGGAGTTTGACATTATTTCTGGCCTTAATTATGATAAGAGTCAAGTTAGAAAATATACATCTCCCCACAGTCTTAGGACTCTTTACTTTAATGATAGTAAGGACGTTCTGTTGAGTGAATTTTAGAAGATTTATATAGCCGCATGGTTCGAGGATGACTTCGACGCGGTCAATGTATCTATTGTTTACTTAGTAGAGTTAGTTCTGTTGGGGAGAGAGAGGACCCTGAAGTACGACTATACATTGCTGGGAATAGTCCATGATTGGGAAACGTGCTGCAACCACGATTGGGGCATGCTGTCCTTTGATAAGACTATATATAGTCTGAAGCGTGGCACGACGAAGAGGTCGAAGGATGAAATCGTATAATCTCTACAGTTTCGCTTGGGCGTTCCAGGTATGAGCATAAATACTTGTTTCCAGTTTTTGTTCCTTTCAACTGGTCAATAACGTCCACCACTTATACTTTCAGGTGTGGGCCTATGAGACTATATCTTCCTTATCTAGGCGTGTGGCCAATAAGGTAAATCTGGATGTCGTGCCACGTATTATTCGGTGGAGGTGCGGCCATTCAACTGCATGGCATGTGCTGGACAGAGAGATTTTCCGATCTAACACAGTAAGTTAAATCCTGTTAATACCTAACTTACTTTAACTTCCATATTTATGTCGACACGTTCATTACCATTGTTGTAGAGAAGAACTCGATCAATAGAAGCAACAGATGCTGAGACGACCTTCTTAAATAGGACGTTCGAACCACCCGAGCCCGAAGATGAGGATGAAGTCCCGCGTGAGAACGATGCTGCTGAACCATCAAGTGCACGTGCAAGACCAAAGAAGGATGATGTGGGACAAGGAGTGAACATCAGTGAAGGTGTCAGAGAAGACGTTCATGTGGAGGCTGAGGAGAAGGAGGAGAATGAAAGTGGTAAGAAGGTACGCATGTTCAGTGTGCGTCTGAGGAAGGTTGAGAAATGTTTGAAGCGCATCGAAAAGTACTGTTAGGGTTGACTTTTTACTGTAGAAACATGTGTTGGTAGCCCTGTTTGACCACGTTTTTGACCCATTTCCCATTATTATTTGCCAAAAAGGACCACATATTCTTAAAGTAGAACATACATATTATTATTTCTACATAAAAGTCAAACTATGGTACTTTAGGAAAAATATGAGATAAATGCGGTCAGAGTTGGAAGAAAATAACATAATTATGTCTTTTTTGCAGAATTGCGCCTGATGCATTTTTTGGAGGGCAATTTGTCAAAACAAACGTTTTGATTAATGAAGGGCAAGAAAGACATTTCCCACATATTCAAAACCGTCAGTCCAAGACTAAGTAAGGTGGTTAGGTGAATCTCAACCCTTTTCCACCTAAAATGGAGGGGAGTTTCAACCAACCTATGGTGCTATAAAAGGAAGTTATTCATCCCTAAGCAAATCATCCCTTCCAAGCTTCATTTCATCTTCTTTTAGATGCTCTCTAGTTGTAGAATACGTTTTTAGGGTTTATGTTCATGTTCTAGTTGTTCATTTCTTCGTTTTTGACGCTTTTACCTTTCGTAGTGCTTTTAATTCGAGTTCTTACTTCCGTTCTTTGTTCATTCTGTTATCTTAAAGTTCTTTAGCGAGTTTCAACTTCCCTCACACTCAAAAGAGAAGAGGGTCAAGCTAGAACTCCTTGTACGACTTATTTATTCATTTAAATTCAATGAAAAATACTTTCTTTATGTTTTTGTGCATTTAATTTAATTTAATTATGTTCTAAATTAGTTATCAACCTCCTTGTAGAATGTTTTAGTCAAATGATTTGATTTTCAACACGCTCGGAATTTTGGCTAGATTGCGCCTGACACTTTTTTGGGTTGGTTTCTAAAAACTTCTCTTTACGTCTTTTTTCCATTTAACCAGTGGGAACTTGATTTATATTCCAAAACCCACCCTTGGGAAAGGTGAGTTAGGTAAAATAATAGGAAACCAATATGAGATGTGACTTAGAAATAAGCGCATAAAATATGGTTCTAGGCATAGGCCCTCTGACCCATAATGCAAATGAGTTGGTAGATATTCTCTAGGATTGTAATCACACATAGGAATATGATTGTAGATTACCCTAGCCTCTGCAGCAACCAAAAGCGGTAGTGAAAGAGTAGAACTCAAATCCCAAAAAAGCCAGGAATTGCACCTGATGCATTTTCCCAACATAGTGTATTTTCCATGTTTTGCATCAAAACCAAGGTAGGAGACAAGGAGGTTGAGTTTTACCAAATTGCTTGTTAGTTAAAACCCCAAACAACAACATTTCACCACTATTTTCTTCCTAAATCACAATTGCATATTTGAACCATTTCACTGCATTACTTGATTTTGAAAAGCAACAAGTCCCTGAGGATTCGACCTTGGATTACTTCCGAGTATTACTTGTGACCGTATGCGCTTGCACGAGTCTCTAATCTTTTTAAAGGTAGAGAAAGTTCCAACAAGTACTCCCTACCACAATGTCCTCCATTGACAAACAAACTGCATCACCTGTCCTAACAATTTCCCTTGAGCAAGAAGCTTGACCAGTTGCACATGGTGCATTCGTATTGACCACGTGTACTTCGGTTGAGGGGTCCGATGATGGACCGGCTACATCCACTGGGTCTACTTCCTCCTCGTTGTCAAAATTAACATCATCCTCGAATTCATTATCGTGGTTGTCATTATCCTCGGCCTCGTACTCCATGTCATTCTTATCGTTATCGTGTCATTGATCGCAATAGTTTGTTTCATCGTCACCCAAGTTACATGATACTACATTGTTCGTCAGCGGCGTCATTGATGGGACAAAATATGATGGGCCTGGGAGCATGGAATCAAAATGAAGCGATGGCGCATAATACGGAACGGTCTGCCCTAATTGGTGGGGAAATGATTGGAATGCTTCTGGTTCTGGAACGTTAAGATTCCTTGAACTGCTTCCAATGCCATGTATTTCCTTAGGTACGACAGATACATACAATGAGACTTCGAATGGATATTGAGGGCATTTTAAAAAAAATCTAAGGCTATGGTCATCAAAGATGTAATATTTCGGAACCTGGTACTGCAGATTGAACTTATATACACAGTGTATCAAGATTTTGAATCGGTCTGGATCTATTCAGGTAAGGCTGAACATAGAAATAAGGAGTTCGTCATAAGTTATACAGTCGTCCACATTCAAACTTCCCATAATTCCAAATTCATATACAAATTGTGACTTATTCCACCTACCACCATAACTAACAAATAGGCGAGACATCCTGCATGTGGAAAGAGAAGCATTCAAAATTCGAAAATTCTTGGGTGGCAATTCTTGATTTTGAGGAGAGAATTCACGCCCGAATATATTATAATTCTCGCCCGAAAATCATATTATATGGTGATTTTCGATCGTAAAAAGCTATAACTTCGCCCGAGAATCATGCAAAAATACAGACAGTACATGCCCCAAACATGTCGTTCTCAAAGAAAAAATAAAAACCACAAAAATGCACTCAAGGTTTCCAAATAAAAAAAAAACAAAAGGACATACATATAAATGTACGACTTCAAAGACGAAAAAGACGAAAAAGGATCATTATTTGTAAAGGACATTTCACCTACCTGGTTCGTGTAGAAATCTTACCTAGCTACAAGCAAACAACATGGTCTGCAAAGCTGAGTACGAAGTGCACAGATGTAGAAGACTGGTTTGCTGAAGTGCACAGGTGGGAGAGTTGGTTGTTTGAATTAATTGAAAAAATATTAACTTCTCGGGCGAAATAATACCAGTTAACGGTCGGGAATTCATTGTAAGTCAACCTCATTTCTCATCAATTCCCGACCATAAACAACCAAAAATTATCATTTTAAACCAGTTTTTGGTCAGAAAAAATATTTTGTCGACCGAAAATTTAGGCTGCAATCGAGGGATAGTTTGGTACATTTAGTTCTAACAAGTCTGAAAAAGTTGATTTGAGAGGTGGGTTATTTAGTCTATTTCCCTTCGACCGTCCTCCTCTCGATCTCACTCGGCTGCTTCAAGGTTTTGTTACCAAATGTATGTATAACATTTTTCCTCCAGATATCCAGTTATTTACGAGTCATGGTGTTTAGATTTGAGGGATCCGTTTGCCCGGGCGAAGATTTCCGATCGGCAGCCAATTTCTCATCCCTGACTTCGTTGACATAGACGAGGAACTTGTGCTTGCTGAATTCATCGGAAGATTTGTGGTGCGGAGGCGGCTTACTTAATGGGGCTGCTCAGTATCATTCGAAAAATCAAAAGGAAAGAGAAAGAAATGAGCATACTTATGGTGTATGTAAATCTCTCGCTCTTTTCTCCCCACTCCCTTTATCGGCATCTCATTCACTTGGATTCACTGTTGATTGTTGCTCAGTGGCCTCGACAACTCCGGGAAAACTACGATCGTTTTAAAGATTAACGGGGAGGATACTAGCGTTATCAGCCCTACACTCGGCTTCAATATTAAGACTATCACCTATCAGAAGTGAGCTTCCCTGCTTGTTCTTGTTGCCATGCTTTTCATTCACTGTTATTTCTGGATTTGGGGATTTTTTTTTTTAAGTCTTGGGATATCATATGCACGCTGCTCACTCATTGGTAACTAATTAACTCCAGCAAATGAATGGAATTGTTGAATATCCAATATGGGTCATTTCGAAAGTCTTTTTTATGAGAATTTTTGGTGTTATAACACGGAAGAAATCTCATTTCCCACTAATACATAAGCTATTTTTTTTAATCATTTATAAGTTCTAAACCCTTTACCATTTACTTCTGATTTGACGTTTTCTGGTTCTTTGTTCAAGTATTTGAAAGTTTTTGAAGCATTGGAATGAAGGAATTTGAAATGCAGTTAACTATTTGCTCTCGCAGGTACATATTTAACATATGGGATGTCGGGGGCCAGAAGACTGTAAGATCATATTGGAGGAACTATTTTGAGCAGACAGATGGATTAGTATGGGTAGTGGACAGTTCTGATCTTAGAAGATTGGACGATTGCAAAATGGAACTCGATAACCTTTTGAAAGAAGAGGTTAGGATTTTTTTTTTCTTTTGTAAGTTATTAATAATAAATCAAGAATGTTTTAACAATCTGATTTTCTCTCTGCTCTTATCCTGGTATAGTTATGACTAATATGTTGGTTTATGTATGTATTTCCCCCTTTTGCTGATTTAGCTTGACGGGTTTGTGTCTTTTGTTTAACTGAAAGTAATTATATTGTAGGAGCATCTATCTGTTTGCATTTTTCGTGTTTTCTTGATAGTACAAGTGTGGGTGATAATTGACCATTGAACCGCCCGCCAATTATGATCGTTTGGTAATCTCTTGAAGTAAATAGCTTTTCTCAACTCCCAAGTTGTGAATTATGAATTTGTTGCATGACTCAGTCATGTATTTGAAGCACAAGCTTTTACGTTCTTACTATTTCAGAATTTTGTTTTGTTGCTTTCAACCAGTGATTTTGTATGGTCTCTTCTTGTACTTTCATGTATTGTGTAATGAAATCAATTTCTTATGTAAAGGAAGTTGAAGTATATAAGTAACAAATGAAATGCAAGCAATGCATGATTAAAGCTTCTATATAATTTTACATGGATAGTAAAGAATGTGAAATTACTAATTTTGTCGATCATATTACAGAGGCTATCTGGAGCATCATTGCTTATTCTAGCTAATAAGCAGGACATAAAAGGAGCCCTTTCTCCTGACGAAATTACTAAAGTAAGAAGTTCGTTTTCTAAGTTTCAAGTCCAATTCTTTCTTTAATTGGATCTTTTCAAGTTTTCTATGATGCAGTTTTTTAAGAAAAACTATGTGCATAAATAAAAAAGTTGCATGTGTAGGCAGTACTGGGAAGGCAAAATTGAAGTAGTGCCATGAACTTACAATTACATGATATTACCTGATCATTAATTCAACTATGGAGTTTTCACAATTACATGTTTTTTATATAGAATTTGTGTTTTCTTTTTCTCAGTTTCTTTATTACCAATTACCTCTCACGTTCGGGAGCGAAACGACCGAGGGTTCCTTTCACATATTTATATTCTGATCACTATTCATGTCATTTCTGCAATCAGAGCTTCAAATACTTTTATCACCTACTGGATTTTGTTGTTTTTACGTTGCCCTGGGGTGTGGGGTTGTGAAATGAATGCTGTGTTAACTATACAGGTACTGGACTTGAAAGCCATGGACAGAACTCGGCACTGGAAGATTGATGGTTGTAGCGCTTACACTGGTGAGGGGCTGATGGAGGGGTTCGATTGGTTGGTCCAAGACATTGCCTCTAGAATCTATGTGCTAGACTAATATCTTTCCATATCTTGTTCCTCGTGGAAGATCATTTAAATTCTGTCTATAAACACTCATTGTTTTTTAAGAATGTTTTGAATTAATTTAAATATATTTCTTTTAAGTTTCTTTGGGATATTTGATTACATGTTTGAAACTACGTTTTGAATTAATTTAAATATATTTCTTTTAAGTTTCTTTGGGATATTTGATTACATGTTTGAAACTACGTTTGGTGAATTTGAAAACAAATTATTTAAATAAAAAGTAGAGTTGCATTTAATGTTTTTAAATATGTGTTTGGTAATAGATTTGTTAATTGAATATCATTGCTCGACCAATTAAATATTTAGTTTATTTTAAAGAATATTAATTAATTTATTAATATTTTTGTTATAAATTTTATATAATTATTATTTTACAATATTGTATAATTTATAATATATCATATTTTACATGTTTTAATTTTAACAAAAATAAAATGAGTCTATAATATGAGATAATATATTTATCAAACATTTTATTTTCTTACCAACAACAATGAAATAATTTACAACAATCATACACATGAACGAACCGACTAAATTATTATATACTAAAGTTAGGGACTAAATAAAAGTATAGCAACTGTACTTTAACCTATTTAATGAAGTATCATTATGATAAATAATGCAAATGTCCTGTAAAGTACATCGGGCAACCTTCAGTCAATCCCTTAACTTCTAAACAGGAAGGGAACTTGTCAAATAATCAACCGATTAAAACTTCTTCCAGAGCAAAGAGGGATTAAAAATGAAACAGGCAAGCTGATTGTTGCATTACAAGTCGAAACACAGGCATGAGTCAACCCTCAACCTTTAATTAGCATGAAGCTACCAAAATTGTCAACCCTCAACCTTTAATTAGCATGAAGCTACCAAAATTTCAGTCCCACGGCTTAATCTATGGAATACTCTAAATATGCATACAGCAAACCCAATTATTCTTGACTGAGGCCACTTTGTGTCTGAATAGAGATCGATTTGAGGCATTTTGCAAAAACTACTTGGACTTCTTTCCTTGTTTCTTTTTAACGACCTCGTTGATGTACATTATGCCCTTGCCTTTGTATACTTCTGGCGGTTTACAGCTACGAACTGCAGCAGCAAATTGATGTACCCTTTGTTTGTCAATCCCCGTGCAGCAGACTACACTGTTTTTGAAGCAGAAGACTCGAACGGCTGGAGGAACAGTTAATTCAACTTCATGGCTGTATCCCAGTTTAAGATACAAGAGACGTCCTGCTGCCTCTGCTCTGGCTTTGTAACCAACTCCCACAATCTTCAAGAAGCGAAAAAATTTGGCCTCCATTATAGTTAAATCAACTTCTTACCTATTAAGATGGAATTTGGGAAGTACTTAGTCCACTGATAATTGATAAATCGTATATATGTTGGAAATGCAAGAGATAAAATGGTAACATTTAAAAGGCAGCCGCATTTATCGTCTATTCGCTTGTATGTATGCATAAGAAAAACTGTAATTGGAAATAAAAATTGGAAGTACATCACCAAAGCCATAGATTCGGGAGCATGGGCATGAAATTTATGTAATCTTTTGAACTCCCACAAGGTCATTGGTTTTTTTAGATAAGAAACTTTTGTATAGACACAAAAAAAGAAGAAAAAAAAACAGCCTAAGGTCTGGGTAGAGGGAACCCAACCCTAACAAACTAAGCAAACACTTTCCAATGGTTCATGAATAAGGAAATGTTGTAATTACAAAATAATTTCCTGTAATTAATTACAAGGAAATGTGCTGGTTCAAAACCATATATGATAGCCATCATCGAATGGAATTGAATTTCAGATCTTCTACTCAAAAACCATATCAAATCACAAGTAAAATTAGAAAACGAGGTTGTTAGGTTAAGATAAATTAAAACCATTTTATATCTTTAATAACACGATGACTCAAAAATCCAAAAACATAAAAAAAGCAGTAGACCCAACATAATCTAACATCTCCTTAGTCACTCCTAATTCCCATCTCGAGCCCTATTTTCTTGTTCACTAATTGATGAGAATAGAATTACCTTGCCGATGACAGAGACGATACAACCTGGAACCACCCAACCCACCAATCTCTCCCCACACCCATGGATGGTATAAGCCCAACCCATTTACAAATTGATTTAGATCAGAGAAATTTTGACCTGAAGCTACTGCGACGGCGATGGTGGGCTGCGGCAGGCGAAGACAAGCGGCGACTGAAGCTACTGCAGCGAGCGACGACGGGAGCTGCAAAGGCCGGCGGCGAAATGGGGCTGGAAGAGGGGAGCTAAGGCCGATTAGGTAGGAGGAAGATGCAGAGGAGAGGAAGTGGAAGAGGGGAGGGTGTAAAATTTTCTACATTGAGCTTGGAAAGTGGGATTTTGAAGATTTCGTGGTCTTGGGAGAAAGTTGAATTAAACCATAGAAGAGATTAGAGAACTAGAGAGATGGGATGATAATATTTATATAAGGGGTTAAAGATGAATAAACCACAACTCAATTTAAAAGTTTAAACTGATGGGTTGGATAAATTTAATTCATATATTGGATATCTAATATAAGGCAACGAAGGTGATTGGAAAAAAAATATCATTATGCCAACAATCAGAAGGAAGGGAGGAGCGTCGAAGAGGGATCCTCCATCTCTTTGGAATGAAGGAGAGAGGGGGAGCCTCCTCTTTTCTGGCGAGGGCGATTGGAATGATTCCGACGAGGATTATGGCAGGCAACGGGCGATGGGTGAGGATAGGAATGACTAGCGGCAACGACGAGTGTTGGCCGGAGATGAGGGAGAAAGAGAGAGGAAGAGAGGAAGAAAATAAAAGCCACAAATATAACATTAAATTAATATATTTTTGTCGAATAAGTAATTTAACTATCACGTCATTTTAAGGTTAGTCAACTAATGATAATGATTAATGAGGGACAATTTAGAACTATTTCTTAAAGTTTAA